GAGAGAGAAAAGAAGAAGAAGAAGAAGAAGAAGAAGAAGAAGAAGAAGAAGAAGAAGAAGAAGAAGAAGAAGAAGAAGAAGAAGAAGAAGAAGAAGAAGAGCTAAGTGAGGAGGAAATGTCCTGACAGAAACCTGACCTTCATAGGAGAGCAGAGACGGTGAATGCTGATGTCTTCACGAGTAATCTGGCCTCTGTAAATCACAGTGCTGTGTGTTCTAGACACAACTGAGCACTTCACAATTTTCCACCTGAGGACTGTTGAGCCAACAACCGACTGGCTTTAGATAAGAAGCAGGACTCTTCACCCACCCAGGACATGCAGTCCACCATCACCCAGGTATGCTGGATTCACACGTGTGGTGTCATTTTACTTTCACTGTGGTCTATTTGGCCAAAAAGAATGCTGTCAGCAGGATGTTGGGATGTTTCCCAAGGATTTTTCTTTAGGAATATTCATTCAGCTGTAAAGGATTATGAATATAACTGCATAGAATCACATGAATGTGGTTCTTTTTAGCTAACTTGTTGCTGGAGTTGAAATACATCATGAAAAAATACATAAATCATACAACCTAATGTATTTCCCCCACAGAATACTGACATCTATGAAGGCCAAGCAACTACATGAGGAAACAGGCTGTCATCTACTCCCAGGAAACTTTTTTTTACTCCTCTAGCCATTGAGTCCCCAGGACAATAATTCTCAATTTGAAAATCATGTAAGTATAAACACAGAAGCAACACAATAGAAAAACAGGCAAAGTCCATGTTGTGTTGATCCTTTCTCATCAAGCATGTGTGGAGAATGTGGGTGTGTTGCCCTATGGTTATCATTCATGGATTCTTGTTACTCTGTAGCAAGCTGGAACATCTCTATCTATGTATCTATATCTGTGTCTATATCCATAGCTCTCTTACTTAGGCATTGGGGACTTCTGGTTTGTAGTTATTCTGTCAAGGGTCGCCATGGACATTGCCTTGTCTTTGTAAAACATGCATATCTTTTTGTCAGGTACATGTTACAACATGATCATTGGATATGTGTCCTCAATAGCATTAGCTATTATAACTCATTATATGTATTTGTGTGTGTGTGTGTGTGTGTGTGTGTGTGTGTGTGTGTGTGTGTGTGTGGTGTTCATCTCTCAGAGTGCAGGTCAGAGAACAGCTTGTGGAAATCAGTTCTCTCCTTCTCCCACACAAGGCCCAGGGATTGGGCTCAGGGGTCAGGCTTGGTGGCAAGTGCCCTCACAGGCTGAGGCACCTTGTTGGCCCAGCTTTAGTTTGTTCTGTTCAGGAGCGAAAGTTTCACTTGGCTCCCATCCTCTTGCACATTTATTGTTCACTGTCTTTAAAGTTGCCATCGCAGTAATGAGTGTGCACAGCGTTGTTTTAGTTGGAGTTTGCTGGTGTCTTATGATGTCCACGTATGTTTTTATACATTTAAGGGCGTTAGGAGGTTTCTGTCATGATTTTCCTCTTGCAGTTTTTTTGTCTATCTTTTTAGATTCTTATTTTTCTAATTTATTGGTGAGAATTATTTTTACTTTCTTTATATACATCATTTGATTGCACATTTTAAAATATTTTGCTACTCAAGAACTGCTTACCATTTTATGTTCTCAGTGCTATTCTTTGAAGAGGTACTGTTATTTTTTATTCCAATTCATTAATTTTTATTCAGATTTTTTAAAGAATTATATTGAAGAAGTACTTTTCTGAAGCCCAGTGTGCTATACTTGCCTGAAATGCCAGCACTAGAGAGAAAGAGGCAGGAAGAGCATCCCTGCAAATTCCAGGCCAGCCTGGAATACACAATCAGTCCCATGCCAGCTGGGAATGCAGAGCAAAAATCTTTTCTCAAAAACAAACAAAAAGACTAAAAAAGCAAAAACCCCAAGTGACCAAAAACAAATAACAACAAAACAAATACAGCTGGTAATGTAGCTTGGTGTATAGACTGCTTTCCTACTACGCATGAAGTCTTGGGTTCGATACTTAGCACTACATATGCCCAGCTTAGTGGAACATGACTATAATCCCAGCCCTTGGGAGATCAGGCAAGAAAATGACAAATCCAAAACTACCTTTTGCCACATGGTTAATTCAATAACGTAGCCTTTGTGCTACATAAGACCTCCCCAGTGCCCCCAAAAGAGATGGCCTTGACTATTTGGGGTTTGCAGGGTAGCTGAGTGGGTAAAGACACGTTCCTCCAAGCTTTAAGACCTGAGTTTGACCACCACAACCCACATGGTAGAAGGTCATATAGATTTTCCAGGTTTTCTGTTTGCTTCCCTTGTCTATTTGTCATCTTTATTCTAAAATCACACCTTCTAGCTATTTATAAGTCAAACAAATTTTTTTTTCAGCAACTCTTTTTTTTTTTGGTTTTTTCGAGACAGGGTTTCTCTGTGTAGCTTTGCGTCTTTCCTGGAGCTCACTTGGTAGCCCAGGCTGGCCTCGAACTCACAGAGATCTGCCTGGCTCTGCCTCCCGAGTGCTGGGATTAAAGGCGTGTGCCACCACCGCCCAGCAAGTCAAACAATTTTATTATAAGATCATACTATATATAGTAAATCTACTAAACTGGTAGTGTGATATTTCTAGTTTTCTTGTTCTGAAGGTGTGTTCTTGTCATTCTTGTTTATTTTTCATTTTTACACAAATTTTAGCATGCATTTTTCAATTCATAGCAAAATGTTCCTAAAATACATAATGCATTTACTGAAGACTTTAGAATGATTTAATTTTTTATAACCCTGAGTTTTATGATAATTAACTATGCTTACATTTCTTGATTTCACTCAGAAATGCTTTGTAATTATACAGGTTGTTAGACTTGTTGCTAGCTGGGTTATTTAAGGTGTTATTTAGTGGCCCGTTTGGCTTCAGGGAGAGCCTCATAGTTGATGGTGTCATAAATGAACCAAGACATGCAGAGACAAGACAGGAAGAAGAGAGAGAGGTGGCTCGGGGACTGGGCTTTCTCTTTTAATAACAAATACGTACATGGAAATTAAACAGGGTCCCCAAAGAACTACACTCACCTCTCTCAAGCAGAGGCCCCATGACCTAATTACCCCCAGACCCTTTCTCTAGAGGTTTCAGCTCCTCAACAGCACTACACTGAATCCAGTAATGGACCATTGGGACACACCCTGATGTAGTACCCAGACCATATCAAATGGCCCTGTCATCTCTCTTTGTATGTGTGTACCTGTCCCACAAATGTACAAAGAACGAAGAATCAAGGTGTGCAAATGGCAGCATTTGGGTTGGCCAACCTTGTAGCAAACTCAACGCACATTCTCGGAAGAAGGGATGGCAGCACAGTAGAGCATTATACAGCAGTGAAATCGACACATTTCAACTTGTGAACCAACAATGCTCACTTTCACAAGCATGCTGATAACTATGGAATGTGAGTGCACAATAACACTTTCAGCTGATCACACATGTCACACAGAATGAAAATTCCAAGAAAATAAAAGGTGGGCTGATAAATACCAAAACGAACAAAATTGTTATGTTTAAGGAGGAGAAGATAATGGAAACTATTGAAATATTTTAATTCTTCATGTATATGTATTTGGTGTGTAAGTGTGGTACAGATATGCTTGCACAGGCGTGTGTGTGTAGAGGCCGGAAGACACCGTGGGTCCTCATCTATCAATTCCTGCCTTATTCTCTTGAGAAAGGGTCTCTCACCAAACCAGGAGCTAGGCTAGCAGCCATCAAGTCTTGCTGACCCTCTCGTCTCCACCTGCCCTCCATCCACAGAACTAGAGTTATAGGCATGTGCATATGGTCACATGAAGCTTGGGCACTGGAATCCAAACTGAGGTCCTCATGTGCTCCAGCAAATAATCTTATGCACTAAGCTATGTCTCCAACCCCCAAAGATCTTATTTCTTAAGGTGGGAGGAGAAGATATAAATAATCATCATAGTTGTGGTGGTTTGAACAATAATAGCCCATCCATGTATTTGAATGCTTAGTCATTAGCGAGTGGCACTACTTAGAAGGATTAGCAAGTGTGGTCTTGTTGGGGTACGTGTGGCCTTGTGGGAAGAAGTATGTCACTTGGGGTGGGCTTTGAGGTTTCAGAAGCCTAAGCCAAGCTCAGTGGCTCTCTGGTCTAGCTGCTTATGGATCTCGATGTAGAACTCTCAGCTGCTCCAGCACTATGTCTGCCTGCATGACACAGTGGTCTCTGCCATGATAAGAATAGACTAAACCTCTGAAACTATAAGCAAGCCCTAATTAATTTCTTTTATAAGAGTTGTCATGGTTATAGTGTCTCTTCACAACAATAGAACAATGGCTAAGACAATAGTCTATATACTATGTATTTATCACATTCAAGCTATTTTATAATTTCTTTATGGAAATGTATCCTATTCTGAAGTTATAGGTTGCAAGTGAAGCTAGTGGGACATGGATTATAACATGATACAGTCATCACCATGGGACATGGATTATAACATGACACAGTCATCACCATGGGACATGGATTATAACATGATACAGTCATCACCAGGGGACAAGGATTATAACATGATACAGTCATCACCATGGACATGGATTATAACATGACACAGTCATCACCATGGACATGGATTATAACATGACACAGTCATCACCATGGACATGGATTATAACATGACACAGTCATCATCATGGGACATGGATTATAACATGATACAGTCATCACCCTGGGCCCACAGATCCTTGTTGGTTTCTGGCTGAGTACTCAATAGAAGTTCAGTTTCTTAATGTAACACAAAAGGTCTTTTATAGTTAGGGTCCTTCTGTGTTTAGATTGTTTTCTCTTCTTTCTGCTTATGTTATGTTCACTGAACATCCACTGAATATGTCTTCAAGGCCATTGGTGAGCAAGATCAGCTTTCCAAGCTGAGCCAATAAAAGGAGGAGAAGGGAAGGGACAGCAGTCTTCACCCTGAAGATTGCAGTGCATAGCTGGCCTCTTAGATCATTGGTACGCCAAAGAAACTCACATTTCTTCAACCCCTGGCATGAGCTGTCTAGAAGCAAAGACCATGTTACTTCTTTAGCTCCCTGGAAAAAGACAATGGGCCTATAAAGCAGACCAAGTTAAGCAACTATGTGATCTCAGATACAGTAGCTTTAACCTAATGTCACAGGGGCTTGTGGGAGTGGATTCCACTTGAGGGAAAACCTAGTCTGTCACAGTAGCTAGCCCACCAGTCAGCTACGCCACAGCTGTTTCCAGGAGGGGGCGCCAGTCTATCAGACAAGAGTTGGGAGGAAAATCAGGAGGAGGTAAAGGGAAGTAAGTATGGTCAAAGTACAGGACACACTTGAACAAACAGGTCAACAAGAAACTCACTGTATGGTTAAAGCACATGACACACTTGAACAAACAGGTCAACATGAAGCTCATTATTTTGTACACTGACATACACCATTTAAAAACATATGAGAAACAGAAACCCATAAAAAAGAAAAATGATCAAATCTAAAAAATTAGAGAAAAATTGACAGATATTACAACATTTAAAGGAAAGAATAAGAAGGGAAAGAGGTGTGGAGGGAGAGAATGAGAGCTCTCCCCCACTGGGAGTCAGGCAGTTCTCTGGGGAGGAGGTTAGTTGTGAACTATGAGCAGCTCTTAGTGGCTAGAGGACAAGTGCCCTCTGCTTCAGGACCTGAGCTAGCAAGCCATTTGGCCTCTTTTCTGCCAACCAGGTCCTGCTGTAGCATCACTGACCTTCTATCTCAGGTACTGATTCGACTCTGCCTCGCTTTATCATTTTCAGATCAGTCCCAGCCTGGCTCCACTGTGTCTCCAGTCCCTGGCTCCATGCCCTGGTGTGGTGAGCTCTGCTGCTGAGAACTACCTCTCCCTTGCTGCCCAGAGCACTTCCTGGGCCGATCCACAGCCTTCCTTCTGAGCATCAAGTTGTGCTTCGAGTTGGAGCTTGGGAGAGTTCTTGCACTATATTGTACTGCATTTGCTGAATGAGAACCCCAAAGCAGAGAAAAATGTACTCCAGTACTTGTTTAACATTAAAAAATATATTTATTTTATTTTATGTGTGTGAATATTTTGTCTGCATGTATGTATGTGCAACACATGTATGCCTGTTGCCCAAGGAGTTCAAAATAGGGCATCAGATCCCCTGGAACTGAAGTTAAGGAGGGGTGTGAGCCACTCTGTGGGTGCTGGGATTTGAGCGTGGTCTTCAAAAGAGTGAACAAGTGCTCTTGATCCCTGAGTCATCTGTCTGAGCCCTCCAGTGCTTTTGAGAGTGGATGCTAGAGTAAGTTTTTTCTAGATTTTTAGGACCATACTCAATTAGTCACCCCCAGACATCTCTAAGTCTCCAAGGACTAATGCTCGGTTACAGAAATGCTATCGTTTCCCAGCTCTCTGCACCTTGTGGACCCTTCCTCATTTGCCTCTCAGCCCTTCCTGCAAACTAAAAACATGGCCCCATAGTGAGAGGCTTGCTGCAGACTCCATTGCTATTTTCTCTTCCGTGTGAGCATGTCAGCTGACGTATTATACAAAACAAGCAACAAACAAATCCCAGACCGCTGTGTTTTGCAAGAATGATTTGGCTAAAAAATATACTGGACATAAGTAGACTGCAGTTGTTGAATCTTCCACAATAGTTAAAATAAGTAAAATATTCAAGTTACAAAAGGATTGGTCAATATAAGAAATCAATCAGTGCTCAGATCTGTCACAGGTGTTAGAAAACACAATCTTTTTTACTCTTTTGGGGTGAATGATGGAGTTGGCTAAAAGTATGTTCTCAGTCAGGGTTCATTAGCAGTCTGGAGATGAATGGTCAGGATTAAATAAGGAGATGGTAACATATGCTTCCTCGTGTAGTTTTCCCCAAGATAGAGCCCTCTAAAACACTGTTGGTCACTGTTGAGGAACCTGGAATACAAGGAAAGATGGAACTGTCATGCATAAAACATTGCTCTGGGGATATCTTTATTGTCAGGATATCTAATATTTTAGTATAAAATATTCTAAAGATCTGAATGTGTAGACCATTTAGTATATTTGAATATATTTGTCATTTAGAAAATATATAGATCTTGACTGACAGGGAAAATTTTTTTGCTTTTAAATCCCATCACAAAAATCTGTATCTGTCTTATGTTGATAAATTAATCTACTCTGAATTTTTTATTTAAAACATGGAATTTATTTAATAAAGTAGCTTCTAAGAAAGATACATAGTAATCTCGCATCAAACAGAGCTGCCATTTGATGGTAAGGGGTGCTGGAGCAGTTTGAGAATTTCTACCTATAAACACTTTATGATGTGACATTGCAACATGGCTTTTCATCACAGAGAAGGTATGCTTGTATTTCTTTTTACTTAATTAAAAATTATCATTGTGGGTGTACAATGTATTTATGTAAGAACAGGCACACGTATACCACAGCATGCATGGGGAGTTCACAGACAACATTTAGGGATTGCTTCTTTCCTTCCACTGGGGGTTCTTGGGATTGAACTCAAGTTGTCAGACTTGCAGGCTGTGCTGGCTAGTTTTATGTGAACTTGACACAAGCTAGAATCATTTTGAAAGAGGGAACCTCAATAGAGAAAATATCCATCCCCACCAGACTGGCCTGGGAGCAAGTCTGTGGGCGTTTTTGTAATTAGTAATTGGTGTGTGAGTGCCCAGACCACTTGAATGGTGCCACTCCTGGGAAATTGGTCCTCAGGTAGATGAGAAAACAGACTGAACAAGGTGTGAGGAGCAAGGCAGTAAGTGGCATTCCTGCTTCAGTTCTTGCCTACAGGTTCTCGGTCTGCTTGACTTCCTGCCCCAACTTCCCTCCATGATCAACTGTTATCTGGAAACTAATGAAATAATCCCTTTCCTCCCCAAGTTACCATTGGTCATTGTGTCTTATCACAGCAATAGAAACATGCTAAGAGGGCACATGCTTTTACATACTGAACTATCTCATTGGATTGTCATGCAGTAGTTCATTTCGGTGAGAAGCAAGTCTACCTAGTTAACCTTGGTATTGAAATAAGACTACAAATGATCTTCTAGGAAAAAACTCAGATGATGAAATATCCATCTTCTTGACCATTATTTATGATGATAGAATTTGGTTGATTAAATAAAATATTCCTCAGAAATGTCCTAAAATACCATATCTAATATTTACTGAACATGAAGACTGGGTCAAGGATTATGTTCTGCATGAATTATTTCATGTAATCTTCAAGACAGTCCTTTAGGTTAAATAGTAGTATTAATCCTCATTTTACAAAGCATAAAACTCAGCTTAGCTAAATAACTCACCTAAGGTAATAAATTAGTCATCATAACCCATTATTTCAGTAAATGCTTGCCTGGCCCTAGAGTTCCAGAGGTCTGTAAACCATGAGCCCTGTTCTTGCTGAACTCAGGGGAGGAGACAGGGCATGCAAATTATGATCAGAATGATATGAAATGGAAGGCGTACTTGACACAGGGACTGTGATTTGACACAGAAAGTATCACGTAAGCTGGAGGTAAAATTTCATCAGCACAAAGAGGAAAGATCATTCTAGAACCATAATCACGTTCTGCCTGTTTAGTGGTAGAAAGGTATGAAATGTCACAGAGAACTGTAAAGTGCTGCTGTCCTGCATGGCTGAAATGATGTGTGTGCAAGAGGAGCTCTTGCTGCCCTGTGGACAAGCTCAAAAGCATTCTACTGATCTTTGCTTCAAATCCATTGACCATTTTCTTCTTTATACCAACTTTCTTCTTTACTATATATGTATATATATTATATTTATTTGTGTATGATATATAAATATATATAAATCTTACTTTTGGCTCACATACTTTCTGTGTCAAAGTACAGTTACTGCATCAAGTATGCCTTTCATTTCATAGTTGATTCTTTCCTTCTGCTTGTGAGGCCTTGAGATGGAACTCAGGTTGTCAGGCTTGCAGGGTATGTGGACTAATTTTATGTAAACTTGAAACAAGTTTGACTCTCTCTGTCTTTCTCTCTGCCTCTCTCTCTGTCTTTCTCTCTCTGTCTCTGTCTCTCTCTCTCTCTCTCTGTCTTTCTCTCTGTCTCTCTCTCTCTTTCTCTCCCACACACATGTGTATGTATATATAATATGTATATATGTATCACAGCATATAGTGCTTGGTATAAAAATACTTGAGTAAATGCTGCAGTAATAGATCTAGGGACTTGAAGATGTGGGAACAGTAGAAAAGTAATATTTCATTAATTAGGCCAAAGGAGTTTCCAAAAACAAACATCAAAATTCTGATTATCCTGGATAATTTAGGAGAAAAGGAAAAAAATAAAGGTTGCACATGCAACTTACATTCTCCCCTTTGGGATGAAGCCCACTCATAGTTTGGAACCACCCTAAGTATGTTTAGGATACGTATACCACAGCACAACCCACAAGGGAAACCCCTATACAAACTGATTTTAGAAAACACTGGGTCTGAGCTGATGTTCAAAGACAGGAAATGTAAATAATAGTAAAGTTGGTCAATTGGTTTCTGAACTTTGGGTGCCAAACCATGCAGTCTTAAGTAAAATAAAATACAAAAGAAAATTGTAGGACTTCCTGGAGTGTGGAGATCAACTCATAAAGACAGGAAGAGCATTGGCCACAGATGAGGAAATCATAAACGTGAGTCATGCTGTATGTTTTTACCCAAGAATAATAACAAACAAAGGAACAAACACTAGTGTTTTTGTTTTTTTTTAGCTCCTTCCAAAAAGAGAAAACCTTCAGTAGAAGCAAGGAGGCCACGGTACGAGAGCTAACAAGTAAAGGCCTGCAGGAGCTGTGCAAGTGAGTGCTTGCTGCCCTTGGTGACTGCCCAGAAGCACAGCCTCTCAGACATGATGGTGGCACAGACTGGAAAATGAGGAGATAGAACAATGAAGCAGTATGAGTCAGAGAGAAGGTTGTACATGGAGATATATGTGTAGGTCTCTGTATGCCACATAAGCATATGACTGTATATATGTAAAGAGCATATTGCATAGAAATTCACAGAATAAGATAGTGCAGGGTTGGCTCTTAGAACCTGAAAATGGTTGCAGTGTTTCCAATCCTGTTTTTACCACTCACCTCTCGAGAGATGAAGTCTCCATTCTTTCCTCTCTGCCCCAGGTACAACCTTATGGTAAAATGAAGGTCAGCTTATTTCCTTACAGAGGTCCTAAGTAGTGCTTATTATGTATGTATGGTGTATGTGCACATCACATGTGTAAATGTGCACACATCCTTGCCAGAAGAAGATGTTTGATGTTCGGTTCTATCACTGTTGACATTATTCCTTTGAGGTAGGGTCTTTCACTGGCAGCCAGCAAGCCCTAGCGATCTTCCTGGCTCTTCCCCATCCAGCACTGGAATTGAAGGCAGAAGCCACCACACTCAGCTTTTTACACAGGTACTGGGGATTTGAACTCTGGTCCTCACACCTGTGCAGCAAGTGCTTTTATCCAGCGAGCCATTTCCACAGCCAAAATAATGGTAGTTTGATGTGACTCTGGACTCTCTGCCCAGCGGCTCTGGGCTGCCATCGTGGTTGATGTGGGAAGGTCGGGTCCCAGGTAGCCTGATTCAGCCCTTAGTCCTCATGTGTATTTTATTCAGTTCTGGTTCCCACCACCAGTCAGTCAGCTTGGTTCATCTCAGACGTGAGAATAAAGACACTTCCAGGTATTATGCTCCAGCCTTCAAATCCCTGCAGCTGAGACCTCAGATGTCACAGGGCAGAAACAACCATCCCCGCTGCTTCCTCTAAATCATCAGTCCACACAAGCCACGATTCATACAAAATGGTGACTTTTAGCGACCAAATTTTGAGGCCAATTTATTGTATGTAAATAAATGACAGAAACAAAAGAAAACACAAGATAATTTTTATTTCTGAAAGTAATGAAGTTGAAATGTTTATACCATTTTCTTTGTCAGCTCACACTTAGAAATGGTGTTGCTAGACTCTGGGATCTGAGTATCTTACACTAATCATCGTCAAGCTCCCTCCCATCAGCAATATACACTAACAAC